GAGATGTAGAAAAAACGAAACGTTATTTGCGGATCTCTCATTGCACAGTGCACACGTGAAAGGATTTCTGGCATCGTGAAATCCCATGTGCATTGCATACATGATTACATCCGCAAATATAATATGACAATGGTAACAAACAAATGATGACATATTATGTGTATTTGCATTATCTGTCATATTAGATGTTTCGTTTATCCCCCGCGGCTCAGTTTGACTTGCCGTTAGAAGCGCTAGAAGAGAAGATGTTGCATGGACTTGTCGTGTCGCGCTGTTCTCCGTGTTCTCATTTGTCGTGGGATATTCTAGCCTCGTCGCTTTACGCTTACGTTTGCGTCTTGATGAGGAGCTCGGAATCGATATCTGAAACTGCGGTCTTCTCGCCATCGCGGACATACTAAGATCCAGTGGCTCATCCAGATTGCCTGTCGGCGCATGTAGATTTTCCATCGGTACGTTTAGAGCCTCCGTCGACTCATCTAGATTCTCCGCCGGCCTGTCTTCTTCTGCCGCCACTCGAGGTGCCGAGACCAACGTCGTGGATGTCGAGGGTTGGTCAGTACTGTTCGCGTTATCAGAAAGATCTCCATTGGCAGTCGTGCCGGCCGCGTGTTCGACATGTTCTGGGTCATCAAAAATTCTCTGGGCATTTTCTGGGTCACCTAAAATTCTCTGGGCATTTTCCAGCAAATAGGACCTCTGCCGCACATCTACGTCCGGACGTGACGCGATAGTTCTGAACAAAAAGTGACACAACATGATAAACGCGCTGCTATTTAATAGCGACGACTGCTCGTTGCTGCTCGGATTCACTCCGTTCTCACTGTTCGTTCTATTACACGTAGCCAGAATGGCTGTGACTAGAGAATTGGAATGAGACGGTGGGACCGGAGCCGGCAGCTGGGCTGGCGATCTTTGAGTTGGCGATATCCGGACTGGCGACCTCTGAATTGGCGATATCCGGACTGGCGATCTCTGAATTGGCAACGATGGCACGATCAACTCCGCATTCGAATCCGACGAATCTAGGATCGCGGCCGACGGAATCGGGAGCGGTAACACCGGAGTCGAGGTGGTCGGCATCGGTAAAACCGGGGACGTTAACCCTGAGGTCGACGGCATGCATGAGTCTCTGATGATTTCCGTCGGCTCCTTCCTCTCCTCGACGAGCGGCTTTCGTCTGGGCCCGCGTTTGTTACCGTAAACGTCGATGGTGGCGAACGGATTCGGCGTACCGTCCGCGTCCAGCACCGGGCCTGGTATGTGCAGACTGTCCTTCAGATGCTTCTTCATCGCGTTACAGAATTTGGTCCTGTACGGGCAGCTGGCGCAATTGAACTGATAGACCTCCGAATGCGTTTTCTTGTGACTAGTTAGCATTGATTTACTCACGCACGTGTACGAACATTCGGTGCACGTGTAACCCTTGAAATCGTCGTGAGCACTGAACCAATGGAATGTCATGTGATGTTTGAGCATGGTGGCGAAGGGGCATAAGATGCACACGAAGCCGGTGCAGTCTCCTTGCAAGAAATGCTGACGCAAATGCATCCAAAGCGCCAACTTCGTCTTCGCCAAATACTTACATTTGCAACACTGTTTCGGTTTGGAAACTTTATTTCTCTTTTTCCCCTTGCTCTGTGAATCATTATTAACTTCCTCGGTCTCTTCGTCATCAAAATATCCGTTTAAAAAGGTGTCGCTTTCAAAGGCATACGTTTCTTTTGCAAATGTACAATGACTGATCACGTGATCGACGTACTCCGTTCTGAAAATATACAGTTTAAATAATTATTATTATTTTGTTGGAACCGACAGGGAATTGCATTTAATATAGTAGTGCAATTGGACGTTATTATATTTAATTCTATGCAATTATAATTCTAACCTGAACGACTTTAACAAAATTTTTTAATTTATTAAAATAGATTTAATGCACGTGAGTATGGCAAGACAAGAATACTGAATTTTATATTTTATATTTACACAAACAACATATCGGAAGAGCACACG